GTTTCCCCTAGAGCCCCCCGGGATAACAAGGAATAACAGCCACAAGTTGTTGGAGAGTAGGTTTAGATTAGACATCCGTAGGAACTACTTCACAGTTAGGGCAGCTGGGATCTGGAACCAACTTCCAAGGGAAGTGGTGCTGGCTCCTACCCTGGGGGTCTTTAAGAAGCGGCTGGATGCCTACCTGGCTGGGGTCATTTGAGCCCAGTTTTCTTCCTGCCCAGGCAGGGGGTAGGACCTGAAGATCTGCAAGGTCCCTTCCGACCCTACTTCTATGATTCTATGATTAACAGAAGCCATAAACTTGGATGTGCCATATTTGTTGTTCAACCACTGTTACCTCCCCCAGGGTTCATGGAACACTAATTGGTGTTACTCTATCAACTACATTTGCTTTGATTTACTTGGTTTGTTCAGTGAGATATTTTAATGCTGCCAACATTGATTATTCTGGCTTTTGTAGCATTAGGTTCATTATTATTTTATGCATATTTTGTCTGATTTATACAGATGTTCTTCTGTAACTTATCCAGATGGAATGCCTCTGTGCAATCTGAAAGCAGCTATTTGTGCCATCAGAGCATTTCCCAAAAATTGTACAGTTAAGCAATCATGTTAAAAGCAATCATCTTAAAAAACCAAAACAAACAATAAAAAAAATATCAAGCAAGCAAAAGAAGAAAAAAGATTAAGCTGCTGCAGACTTGTCAGAGACATGTTCACCCATATCACTTTTCAATACTTTTTGTTACAGTTGGCATTCAGAAGTGTTTTGTTGTTTTAGTCATCTTTGCAAACATGTTTTTTTCCTAGAAGTTTAGACAGCGTCTTCCTATTGCTCACTCCTTGCAGAAGCAAGCACTTAGCTGCTGCATTTTCAATGAGAGCAAAGAATTGTATCCTTCTAATACTACTGGAAATTAATCCTTTCCATAAGATGCTCTGACAAACTATAACTTTTTATGTGGATTAGATTTTAGAAATACAGTACTAAGTCAATAGTCAGGCTTATTTTTGTCTCATCGTAAAGCTCTGAATTCTATGGGCTCCATGCCACTTTGGGTCTCAGTGTTCAAATATTTCATTTCTGGAGTTCAGGTTTCAAATCACACGATTGGTCATAAGTACAAATTATCTTGGTGGGATCATTCTCTTTGTTACCATTTTTATGTGTCACTAAATTATCACATGGTTTAACATAATTAGCAGGAAGAAAAGCCCAGATTTGAAACACAGTCACTAGTTAGGAACATATGAATAGCAGGTCTGTAGGAAGGAGCTTACACAAGACCTGTTTGCTCTGTGCTTGGCTCAAATCCAGGCAACCAGTTCCTTAGAAATGCAAGTCTCTCACAAGCAAATTTAGAAAATCCCAACATCAAAATTAGTATTAAAGCAATGGATTGTGCTGCAGCATTGTTTTCAGGGCTCCAGTTGTGACATTAGACTCAATATAAACAAGAAACGTTTAATCTTTAACAGACATATGAACTGTAGCTGTATTTTAATTTTCTTAATTTGTGACTACAATGGCTCCTGATGTTCCAGTAAGCATCTATTCAAATATAGGAATTATGAAAAAAACCCCATTAATTGAGCCTCCTTTATTGTCCCTGTGTCTGCCTTAAGTGTTAAGAGAGGGACACAGAAGGAAAAAAAAGGGGCACCATTCTAAGTAAATAAATGTTTCTTAAGTGTTGTTTAAAGGGAGCTATTATACCCTGCATAGAGTATCCAGTCTGAGGTGTAGTCACCTGTTCACTTACAGTGCTTGCAAATCATTGGAATAGGGGTGACACATAGGGGGTGCATGCAGGTGCACATGTACCCCTGCACGTGGTGGTGCGCCCCCTGCAAGAAAGTGCTGCCGACACTGTCGTGGGTGGTCACCACTTGCCACGCTGCCACTGCAATCCCTGCTGGCCGCCGCTGCCAGCAGTGGCTGCAGGTGGTCACTAACTTGGTCAGTGCTCGCCACTCCCCACCCGCTGCCAACAGCACCAGCAGGAGCTCCCCAGCTTACTGCCACTGGGTTCCCACCGCTTCTGCCGCCGTCACCACTGCCACACTCCCACCACCACCATGCCCCCCACAGCTGCTGGGGGGCATGCGCTGTACATGTTCAAGCAATTTTGCAGTGCCACAATGGCACTAAACTGTTTGAATGTGCTGTTAAGTTGAATGTGTGATGCCACCCCGAGATACCTGCACTCCATAACAAGTTAACATGTTTTTTTTAGCTTACCCAAAAATAACAATTCTTATTTTTTCCCCTTTCCAACTAGATCAAGAAAAAACAGCAGGAAGTACTGGGCTTTTTAGAGGCCAACAAGATTGACTTTCAGCCACTGGACATAGCTGGTGATGAGGACAACAGGAAATGGATGAGAGAAAATGTCCCAGGTGAAAAGAAGCCACAAAATGGAATCCCTCTCCCTCCACAGATCTTCAATGAGGAGCAATACTGTGGGGTGAGAAGTCATTTGACACTTTTAGGGAGTGCTGGAGTGATGTTGAAGCTATGGTGGTCCAGGAATTATGCAAGAGGCAAGGATTTTTGTGGGTGATATCTTTTTATTCGACCAATGGCCTGGTTGGGATAAAGTTAAATGAGCTTTTAAATGCAAGGCATTTGATATTTTTCGTAACGTTGTAGGCTTTTATAAGGACTTTACAGAAGTACCCTAAAACCATTGTTCCTACAATAATCAGGGATTCTTTTCTGACTTAATAGTTTTAGGAAATATTAGACATGAAAAGAAAATGGAGTACCTGATTATCTCCTTTCACAGAAAGGACTTGGAGGAGGGAAAACATACTAGAGCATCTCTGCCTGGTGAACTATATGGGGATTTTCTTTCCTCTACAGATAAAGAGTCTGTGGAGGCCTGTAGACATGCTGGGACTCAATTAATTGATTAATTGAGTCTTCTGGAGTGTGCTAATTAGCACGCTCCAGCCAGTCTCTACGTTTTGTGTATTAGTGTCTCCATGCTTCAAAATGGTGATGGGGGGGTGCTTTAATTAAAGCTCGTCAAATAAGTTTTAGCATTCTGCTGCCATTTTGAAGCATGGGGTCACTGATACATGAGACACTGTGGGTGCTTTAATTAGAGCAGCTTTTGGAGCCACTTTAATTAAAGCCCCCACCACCACCCCCTGAGCACATATGAAAATGCCCTGTGGGTTCATTGAAGGGCGTCAAGTGTCAGCTTGTCACCCATAAGGAGTTCCCTAGCAATCAAGCATTCCAGCCTGCTGGATCCGGGTCCTGGTAACATAGCTCCCTTACAAGTGACCACTGGCTCCCTGCCCATGTCTTACATTACCCACATTGAAAGGGGAGCAGAGAACTCTAAAATAGGTGATGCTGCATTTCCTGGGATAACCAGGTGGCAAGGGCCTGCTAGGACAACGATTCCTTTTCCCAGCCTGTGTGCTCACCTTTGCAATTTTATCTTGACTCTTGACATGCCCTCCTTCCACACATAAGAAATAACTGACTAAATATAGAGTGCCAGTCACAGCATGTTTATCTGGGGAGGCATCGCTGGAGCTTTGAAGAGAGGCAGAAAGCCTTGCGCTGTCAGCTACACTCCCTGTCCTTCAGCAGTATTGTGGCTTTTCTCTTTGCAGTTCTGTTCCTTTTGCTCTCTCTAAGCCAGTGGTCTCCAACCTTTTAAAACACAAAATCACTTTTTGAATTAAAGTGCAACCCAGGATCCACCTCAAACAAAATGTAGAAATAACAGTTTATATTTATATTGATGTTATATAAAGCTGAGATCAAGTGCTTAATATACCTAATTATACATTTTCCCTACTTACCAAGTCTTAGTGTGACACTTGTGACTGCATATTATTATCTGCCTGCTCCAGACCAGGCTGCCACTGCTGCAGGGAGCCGGGGCAGAGTTGTGATCCCCTGCCTGCGTGCTCCTGCCTGGAGCGTACAGGCTTACAGATCGTGGCTCTGCCCTGGCTCCGGAGCAAGTTGCCCCCATCCCAAGTACCCATTGGCTCCAGAGCAGCCCCCTGTACTGCTCTCAGTCTGATCTCCATGGGGAGATCCCAACCCCGACCCCAGCCCCAGCCTAAGCTTCCCCCTCCAGATGAGGCTGGGGTCTCCATGGAGACTGGCCCAAGCCCTGAGGGCAGGGGCTGCTGGGAATTGGAGTCCATTTTTCCCACCCCTGTTTTATGCCTAACTTTAGCTTGGAAAAAAAAGTGAGATGGGGGACTGAGACTGAGATCGACTGTCAGAGGCTCCATGATTGACCAGTCGATTGTGATCTACTGGCTGGTGACTACTGCTCTAAGCCATGCTGTGGTGTTTCATAGGTTCAACGTGGATTTTATTAGGCTCACTGAGGATTTGAGCACACAAACAAGTTACCATGAAGTGAAAAAGGGTGTGAATTTACCATATGGCAACTGCCATTGGTGATGTGTAGGGAGTGCATGCGGGTGCATGTGCACCCCCTGAGCATGGCAGTGCACCCCCTACGAAATGGTGCCACCAACACTGTTGGTGGCACCTGTGGGTGATTGCTGCTTGCCACCCCCACAACCCCCCACTGCTGACAGTGCTGGCAGCATCTGTGGGAGCTCCCTGCTTATCACTACCGCCAGCACCACCATGTCGTCCCCTCCTCCCCCCCCCCCCCCCCCCCAGCCGCCAGGGGCACAGGTTTGTGGCAGCTGCTACCCATATGCACTCTTTTGTCCCAAACTAACTTGTGGCAGTTGAGCCCTGTTTCATTGCATTGCTTAGGGTTAGTTTTCAGGTAGCACAAGATAAGAGCATGGATACTGGCAGTTACACCCAAGCAATTAACTTGTGGTAATCTCCTCCTTCCTTTAACCTCATGTCCTGGATGTACCTGTAAAAGCTGTTTCAGGAAGCTTGTACATTTATGTGACTAACATCCTTCTCAGAAATTTCCATTAGGCCTCAATTCAATGCCACTTGAACTCCATGGAAACACTCTCATTGACTTTATTAGATGTTGTATCAGGCTTTTAAGTTAGTACTTTTTTTACTGGCAGGAATAGATTGTATAATGACACTTCCCCACATAAAATTGCTTAACAGAAAAAAAGATGCACAAAGCATTTATGAAATGTATTTCAATAATCAAGGTTAAAATTTAGCAAGAGGAACACAGTAATGTATTATTAGTATTGCTTGATTTTGGTAGCATACACACTGTGCTAGGTGCTTTGCATGTGAAAAAATCTGTACTATCCTCCACCCAACAGAAATAAGGATTTTTTTTAGAACTTGAACTTCCAGGTCCACAGGATAAACATTGTGCTCCTCTTTTCCTACAAATTGGGAAATTTCATGTGCAAATAGCTGTTTAGGTAACTTCCTAACTATATGTGCATGCAATTCTCTGTTTTTTACATATAACCACCATAACTGCACCTTCAGTTGTAGGTAGGCAGCTGTGCCAATGTTTTGCATATGAAACTTTAAAAAAAATGTGGCCCAATTTTTGACCCCCCAACAATTAAGGGATTACATGGATTTCCTGAATGACCACAACATTTTTTGGAAAAACAGCAACAACTAAGCCAAGACCAGGTTCCCTTTCGGTAGTAATAGATTCCACATAAGCTTTTGCTTAGGCCTATGCCAGTAGGCAGGTATTCAATCAGGCTTTGGATCCGGCCACGTCAGATGTCAGTGATCCAATCTGGAGCTCCGGATCAGTTTGCCTCTTCAATCCGTCCAAAGCGGCTCCGAAGCTTCGGAGCTGCCTCAGAGATCCGGCCATAGGGTATAATGGGGGAAATCAATGAAATATCTAACTTTGTTATTTTGTCTCTGATTTAGGTGAAACTTGTAGGGGTGGTAGCCTCTGCTGAGAGCAGGAAGCCTGCCAAGGGTCAAGAAGATAGGTGTAAGGGTTTTGGGGAAACTGCATCCCAAATTCTTGAAAGAAAAACTCATGTCACATGTATGTGTTACATCATGGGGGTGGGGGTGAAATCTCCAGCAGTGGTAGCCCCTGGTGAGGCCACAAAGCCTGCCAAGTTTCAAGAAAATAGGTGCAGGGGTTTGGGGGCGGAACTGCACCTCAAACTGCTGACAGGCAAAACTCGTGACATAGATGACCTTGTGTGTGTTAAGGCGCAGCGGGCTGAAAACTGCAGGGGTGGTGGCCCCTGCTGAGGTCACAAAGTCTGCCAGCTGTGTGTGTGTGTGTGTGTGTGTGTGTGTGTGTGTCACTGCGGGAGTCTGTCCTCTGGGGCCCTGCACCTCTAGCTGCTAACAGGCAAAGCTCGTGATCTGAATGGGTGACACTGTGTGTGTGTGTGTGTTAAGGTGCACCCTTCCTGCACAACATGGCAGTGTGCCCCAGTGAGGCCTCCTCCTCCCCTACAGCCTCACATCTGGTCCACCACTTTACATGACAACAGATAAAATAACTTAGCTGGCTCAACACTAGTAGCAGCAGCAGCAGCAGCATCAAAGGTACCCAAACGGAACTGTCACAGAGCCTTTCTTTTTATAAAGGAATTGACAGCAAGAAGTAAAGATGTTGTGTTGTGTTGGACATATGATGTTACTGTGTGTGATGGCTTATCTTGTGTTTTTATATCTATATGTTTATTATGAAAAAAAAAGGAGTACTTAAAAAAATGTATCTTGGAAGCTTTAGCATTGAAAACCCCTTTGTCAGGATGAGGAAATACCTGCAGTTGGTCCTGGATGGAAGGAATAGTAAAAAAGCCAGAGGATGGCCTGGCCCGCAAGGCAGGCAAGAAAGCCAGTCAGTGGAAATGGAAATGGAGGCGTCAGGGGGGAGGGACAGGCTGGGGTGGGGGGAAAGGGGGATGTAGCAGTGCAGGTAAAAGTGCAGAGGTGCCTGGGGTGTCAGATGTCTGGCAGGTTGCTGTGTGCCAGAATTCCACTGTGTATACTGAGTCCATGAGTTTCTGTACTTACTACCGAGGAGGCTGATGAAGTGCAGTTCATAGGCCCAGCTCTGAAAAGCGGTTTGTACATTCAAACAAGCAACTAACCTCATCACCAGAACTGAAGCCAACTTCCTACAGCTCAAAACACAAAACCTGCCAACTATCTCCAGTACCCTCACAAACTGCACACCAGAATCTATCAAAGACAACAAAACCCAACTACCTGTGGGGGCACATTCCTCATGAAAAAAACCAAAACACTCAGGCCTGATCCTGAGAGGGAACAAATTACAATGCAAACCACTTTTCAGAGCTGGGCCAATGGTCTTGGTGACCTCGCTTGCCTTGGGAATGCGCCACCCTTTCTGTCCACCTGTCCCCCACTGGTTCAGGGTGGCCTGCCTCTGCTTTGGGGGGGAAGGGGGCTTTGGAGTGAGCAGGGGACTTCCCTTTCAGCACGCTTGCACTGGTGCCAGGCTGAGCAGGAAGAAGGGCAAGGGGGTGCTGCCTCCTCAGATGCATCAGCATTGCTGTGGTGGAAAAGTGTCTCTCATCCTTGCCATAGCTCATGTGCCTTTGGCAGTGCTGGCAGATGGCAAACCTAGGATCATCTGCCAGCTCAAAATGCTCCCACACTACACTATTCCCCCGCTTCTGGGTTGAGGGTGAGGATCCTGCCTTATCCCACTCCTCAGCAGGCTGAGGCGCCACAGCAGGAGGAGCTGCTTCAGTTGAGCCACTTGCCTCCACAACCTCAGCTTTCCAGAGGAGACCTGGGTCTAGGGGAAACTTGAGGGGTGTGGAGCACAAACTCTGATTCCCCCCTCAGTCCCCAGAATTGCTTGAGCCAGCATGCTCAGCATCCCCGATTCCAGCTCCAGCTCCTCCTCTGGCAGTGGGAGGCTCACGCTGACAGATAACATTGGGGTGGAGGAGACAGTGATTCCACTGCTGGTGCCCACTTCTGGACTGAGGGGAGGTGGTGCAGGTGCAGGGATGTCAGGTGCAGATACTGCTCCCACCTCCTTGCTTCCACTGGCAGCACTGGTGTCATGGCTGCTTGGGAAGAGAATGCATCTGTGTTGGGGGGGGGGTCTTGCAGCTCTAAATCTCCCCCTACCCCGTCTCTCTCCCCTGCCAGAAGACCTGGTACCTGCCTTTCCAGCACACTTCATATTGATCTTTCCTGTGCTGCAAAAGTTCTCTGTGTGCATGTCACTCCTTTTGTGTTGTGTGTTTTATTCTCTCTGTTGCCTGCGTGCACTAGACTCTTCTTTGATTATTTGCTTCAGTGTTAAGAGCTATGTAAAAATTGTGTGCTGTCTGTCTGTCTTCTTCTCCTATGAATATCTGATTTTTCTTCTTTATAGTGCGTGTGCCTCCCTACACAGTGATGGATTACACTGGCAGGGAAAACACAGCTTTTTGTTTTCAAAGTTTGCAAAACAAAAAAAGAGTGTAAATATAAATTGAAAGAAATTAATTGAATAGTATTAAGAGATGCTAAGATAAGCTAAATCCTACCTAATCCTTTCTAACAACAAAAAGGAACTGGCAAGTTCAACTACTGAGTAAAGCAACCAAGCTGAGATGCCCGAGTCTGAGGGTACCTTTCTCATGCAGTTCCTGAGAGGGAACAAGCTTGCAAAAGGCACAGCATGCCTCCAAACAGAGGCTTTTATGCTGTTTCTAGGTCCCTCCCCCCAGACACTGTCATTGGAAAGGCAACCAGAGAGAAATCCTTCTCACTGGCCACCTACACATAGATTTCATAGACATTAGGCTGGAAGGGACCTCGGAAGATCATCGAGTCCAGCCCCCTGCCCAAAGGGCAGGAAGTCAGCTGGGGTCATAGGATCCCAGCAAGATAAGCATCCAATTGACTCTTGAAGGTGTTCAATGTAGGTGCTTGAACCACCTCCGATGGCAGGCTGTTCCAGACCTTGGGGGCTCAGACAGTAAAGAAATTCTTCCTTATGTCCAGCCTGAAACAGTCTTGCAGTAGTTTGTAACCATTCGACCTTGTCATCCCTTGGGACGCTCTGGTGAACAAATGTTCCCCCAGATACTGGTGGTCACCCCTGATAAACATATAGGTGGCCATCAGATCAACCCTGAGCCTGGGCTTTTCCAGGCTAAAGAGCCCTATAGTTCTCAGCCTGTCATCATAAGGTCTGTTTTCCTGACCCCTGATCATGCATGTGGTTCTTCTCTGGACACTCTCAAGCTTCTCCACATGCTTTTTGAATTGTAGAGCCCAAAACTGGACACAGTACTCCAGCTGCGGCCTCACCAAGGCCAAGTACAAGGGGAGAATGATGTCCTGGGATTTGTTTGAGACGCATCTATGGATGCAAGCCAGCATTTTGGTTGCTTTACTAGCCGCAGCATCGCCTTGCAGGCTCACGTTCATCTTGCGGTCAACGATGACCCTCAAGTCTCTTTCTTTTGTACTGCTAGCCAGTGTAGCACTGCCGAGCCTATAAGGATGCTGCAGGGTTTTCCTCCCAAGGTGGAGAACCTTGCATTTTTCAGTGTTAAACACCATTAGGTTCTCATCCGCCCATTTGCTGAGCCTGTCCAGGTCAACCTGGATCACCCTCCTGTCTTCAGGTGTGAATGCTTTGCCTCACAGTTTGGTGTCATCGGCGAACTTGGCCAGTCTGCTTCTGACTCCAATGTCCACATCATTAATGAAGATGTTGAACAATATGGGTCCAAAGACATGTCAGTCTTGCCCCCCGCTTTCCCCCACCCTGCTCTCCCTCCCTCCCTCCCTCCCCTATTCCCCCTTCTTCTTCTAACTTTCATTTTTAGTGTCTGAAGCATTCAAAGCTTTTCTGAAGCATTTCGGAAGGTCTAAACCGCTTTGGACAGCTTGAACGAGCCAGTGCTTCGCTCCAGGCACGCTACTTCAGACGCTGAAGTGTTCAAACTGACCCCGGATCTGAAGCGTGGTCCGAAGCCTCGCATAGCCCTATTTTTTTGCTTCCTCAACCCTCACAGTTTTCATATTATGTACTTCAACTAGAAGCAGAAACACAAGTAATCATTCTCCCTGTTGAGGCTGGCACATTCCTGTTGAGGCTGCAAATCCCGAGTCGGGGACAGCATGTAACTGATCACCACAGGGATCTAAAGGAACCTCAAAATACATTTTCCCCCTATGGGGTGGTTCCAGGCTAGGCAAACTAAATGTAGCCACTATGAACTTGTCATCTCCAAGGAATTTGATAATCTGATTCCCTCTGAATTGACTCAGAGAATGCCTGTCTGGTCACAACTCTCATCTCTTGATAAGCATCCTCCTGAGAGGTCTGTGAATCTCTTTAAATAACAAAAGCAGCATTTGAGACCCCAATCTGTGATAAAGAAACCACTCCTGTGATGGCAATATGATTTCTGTCTACAAAATTTCTCTGTTGTGTTTCTGGTACCACTTTCATTATTAAGTACCAGTCTTGCAAGGCATGCTGTCCTACTCTTAGTTTGGGAATGTGGCTGCTGCATCTGATAGCTATAGTATTAATTTGAGCAAAATAATCAATTAGATCTATATTTTCATTAATCAACAATTTTTCATTAATCAACAAATTTACCCGCCTCAGTGCAACAGTCTTAGTATCCTGAGCATCTTGGAGACAACTCTGCCAGTGTTTACCCTGTTGGGCTACTTCATCTGTTTTTTTGTAAATGTACAGTGTGAATATGTAGCTCCTGAATCTGCTGTTTCATGTAATTTAATTCATGCACTTTCTGATTTTTTTTTTTTTTTTTTTTACTAACTTATATCTAGGGATCCAGGTTTTTCATTTCCTGGGGAAAATAGAAAAAAAATATGGGTTTCTCATTTTAATGGAGAAACACCTAGACTTTATACTTTTGCAAAGAGCTCTCTGCAGGCTGGAAGAGTTCCAGCCTGCTAGGGGCTGGGGGGAATGGTAGAAGGGCAGTCAGACAGGGGTGCCATGTGCATGGGCAGAGTGGGGCCAGGCGGGGAAGCTCCTTGTCATTGTAAAACCCATGCTACCCTGGTGAAGCAACCCCTGCCTGCCCAGCAGCAGTGGGGATGGTGGTATGGAGTTGTGTCCCTTGCTGCTGCTAGGCGGCCAGGGGGCACCTCACCATGGCAGGGTGGGGCTCCTAGTGGCAGCGATGAGTTTCCCCAGCCAGCCCAGCTCTGCCCTGCCACACTGGGTCCTGCCTGATGTGCTGCAGGGGCCCAAGGGTAGGGCAGCAGGGTGGAGAGCCTGAGTCTGCAGTGGGCAGCCTGCACCCACACCCCCCACAGGCACCTCTCTGGCCATGCCATCTATGGGGGAAGGCGAACTGTGCCATGCACTCTGCTTTGCCACAGAAGCTGCCACCTCCCATGGGTGGCAGCAGGGGTTCAGGCGCTGTTGTGAGGGGCAGGGGGCGGTGGACCCGGGTTCCTGGCCATGTAGCCTCGGCAGGGGGGGCCCTCTGTCAGGGCTGGGAAAGCAGGGGGCTGTGGGTGGGGAGCAAGGCACACCAGTAGGGCTATGGGGCTGTGGGTGGAGAATGAGTGGCACCAGCAGGGCTGAGGGGCTGTGGCTTGGGACTGAGGGGCCTGGACCTGTATCCTGGTGAGTGAAGGGGAGCTCTGATTTTCCATGACAAAAAAACCCCAAATCAAATGCCAAAATTTATAGATATTTAGAATATATTTTATTATAGTGATTGAGGCGCTCATAGGCTTCCAAATCGCTTTAAAATTGTAAATATCATAAAACGCTGTGTTCAATTGATACGCGCGCGCGCGGGTGTATGTGTGTGTGTGTGTGCGCGCGCGTGTGTGCTATATTTATTAGCGGTGTTTCATTTTAATCATGAATTTTTGCGTTCTTAAATCAGAGAATTTGAGATTTTTAAACAGAGAAAACCAAGATCCCTGCTTATATCCAATAAGTTAAACATCCATACAGCACCTTTTTAGCTCTGGTTCTGAGTTTTCATTCTTGAAGAATTCTGAAGTCACTACCAAGTCTTTCCCAAGTACCTCTGGAATCCAGTAATCATGGAAGGAGAATTATCTTACCCCCCTCTCTTTGCTATATAGCCTAATACATTTTTCTAGGGCAACAACACTGTACACTGCTTTGGATATATCCCTATGATTTGGGTCCAGATTTAGGTCCATCATGAGTATCTTTAGAGGCTCTTGGGAAAAGGTGAACCTGTTCATGGTAAACCTTAAACCTTTATCTGGAATATCATTATTAATAGGTACCTTTAAAATTATGAGCAAGAACTACACGATAAAGCCTATCAAGGCTAAAGAATCCAGAATTACACAACATGCATGTTGTTTTTGCTCTTAAATTAAATTGAAAAATGAAATGACAAGTTATTCTTGTTTTTAAATTACAGGATGTGGTGCTTACTGTTAAATTTGTGCAGAATTTCCCACAAAGCCAAATTGTGCCTTGAAACTTCTTCCCTCTCTATTTTTATGAGAGAAAAAAATAAGGAGCAAAGTAAAAGCAACAGCTTTTGTGACTAGGTATTGATATTTGAAATCTCCTAAATTTACTGCTGCACCTATTTTCAATGTTAATTCATTTATAAAGGGACTGTTTCCTCTATTAAAATCACCAAATTACTGCTGGGTAGCAAAAACTGGCTGCCTCCTGTCTGGCTCCCCAAAACTTGTCAGGATAGAGTACACTGACCTGACCCCTTATCCAACATTAGATATTCTAAGGCTGACTAGTCTTTCAGGTAGTTTCTCTCACTGGGGACTTAGTTTCTTTTTTTAGCGTGAAGTTACATGTTATTCTTACATGTTGCAGGGGTTTGGGTTGTAGCCGTGTTGGTCTAAGGACATAGGCAGACAAGGTTCCTTGGGTGAATTTGATATCTTTTATTAGACCAACCCAAATTCACCCAGGGAACCTTGTCTGCCCATGTTATTCTTAGACCTTATTAGAGGCACTTAAAACACAAGTGTCCACAAGTTAAACTTGCCTTGTTAACTTGTACTAAATGCCCTCTGAGCATCTCAAAGTTACGCTCTTTCAGGTGAGGATTAACTCTGGGCCATGCTACCTACCTTGTGTTAACGTAACTTCAGTCTGCTTCATAGCAATAAAATGAGAAATTTGCAGTCCTCCAGCTTCCCAGGATACACCACGTTCAGTACTCCACTCACTCAAGAGCAGGGACAGAGTCCAGGTGTCCTGGCTCCTAGTCACATCCCTGCTTGCCAGCCCTCTAGGGGCAAGTCGGAGCTGTGTAGGCAAGAAACAGTATTAACCATTAATGTGTGACTGCTCACAGCACGTTCTAACTTTAACACTGCTTAACTTTCCACTTATTTAGTATAGTCTAAGTGTAACATGTAACTGCACCCTTATCCACCCTACTACTTCCCTTATCCTATCTTATACTAACTTAACTGTACTTAAGGCCTACTAAAACACCACGTTATAAGCAACTTAACCTAATAGTTTACTCAGTGTTTCTAGACTGTTTGTTATCAGACAGTACAAAGATAAAGATGGATATGCTTGAAAAAGACAACTTATATTGGTCATAAAGATTTAGGGAAACAGCCTTTCCTCACATAGTTTGTTATCCAGAAATAACTTTCCTGTCTTTGTTTTAAGTCATGATTGGCTATCCAAAATCCAACCTAAAAATCCATAAATGCCTTAAGGTAGGAGTGGGCAAAATACAGCCCATGGGCTGCACTGGGTCTGCCAAGTGATTCTGTCTGGCCCACAGTAGGTCCCCGGGCCATGGTGTGTGGGACTGGTCCTGCCACCCCCAGGGGAGGTGTCACCTAGCGCAGAGCGCAGCCTGCCCCATCCCTGTGCATGGCTCTCAGGCATGCCAGGAGCTTTAGTCTGTTGGGCCAGGTGGCCTTGGTGGTGGGGTGGGGGTGGTCTGGAGGCTAGACTTGGCTTCCCAGCAGCCCCAGTGGCAGCGGCTCCTTCTGGCTGCCACTGTCAGCATCTCGATCACTGCAGCATGACCTGGCCCTGCTGCCCAGGCACCCCAGCCCATCCATTCTGTACCCACTGCCAGGACCCCTGAAGGCAGGATGTGCTTGGCTGGGTGGATGGGATGGGGCTGTGGGTGGGCGAGGAGCAGTGTCCAGGAATAGGATGGGCAAGCAGAGCCAGGGACATACGAGGAGCAGATCACAACTTTGCACCAGCCCCCACAGCCCCATCCCATCTACCCAGCTGAGTGTGCCCTGCCTACAAAGGTCCTGGGCTAGTGTAACAGGTTGCCCTTCCCAGCGGCATTTTTGTATATTTATTTATTTATTTATTTATGCCTATGAGGGACACCCCTGAAGTCCCTTACTGTTTCACTTCTCTCTTTTGTCTCATATCCTGCCTTTACTCACCTGTCATGTCTTGATGTAAATTTGATGTTCTTACAAGCAGGAGACTGCCTATTATATTTCTATGTTGGGGTTCTCAGCCACCACGGGCCTTGCCCCGTCTTTCTCTAGCTAAGCCTACCAGTCTAAACCCACCAGATAAGATTTGATTCTGAGGCTCTAGCTCCTTAATCCTCTCAGGTCCCATGGCCCTCCTTTTGCTTTCAACACAGAGCTCAGGCTTTCTGGCCTAGAGGCCTGTCTGCTGGATATAGAGCCAGAAGGCTGTAAGTTCCAGTCTGGGCAGTGGCCTAGAGTTCCCAAGGCCACTTTTTCTTTTAGCTCAGGCTACTAGCCAAGATGCCCCCACTGGGACCTGGCTTAAAAGTCCTGCAGCCAGCTCTGAGCTACTAGCCCTATACAGCTGCACTAGGCCCTTTGGCCTTTTATGACTGTACCCAAGGCACCAATGAGGCCTCCTCCTCCCCTATAGCCTCAACCACAAACCACCGGTGCCAATCAGTCAAAAATATAAACAGTATGTCCATAGGCTAGAACTGCCACAAAAAAAGTAATTAAAGCCAGCTTACATTTTTTCAGAGCTCTGTGCTTCTGCTTCCCACCCTCTGTTACAGTCCTTCTTCTGGGGCTGCCGCCACTTCTCTGAGAGTCCTCAGGAGTTCCTGTCCCATAGCAGCTGGACTGGTAGCCAAGCCTTTCTGTGGAACTCTTATGCACAAACTCCTTCCCCCTTGCCTGCTGACCCCAACTGCCACCAAGCCCAGGGTTTTTATAGTTCTGGCTTGCCCCCTTCCGGTCACCTGACTAGCTGGCCAGGCTCAGTTTTTACCCCCATACCCTGCCAGCAGTCTGTGCCCAGAAAGTTCTGGTCTTAAAGGGACCAGCCCATTTTCTGGTAACAGGGCTAGGGTTCCCTGTTAAAGCTGGTCTCCATGGAGAGTTTGTCCATCTGGTGGTGGGTGCGAGGCAGAAATGCTCAGGACCAGATAGGATCAACTGGCTTAAGCCTGGCCTCCATTGACCCTATTTCTCTTGCCAGGTCAGCACCTCCTCCCCAGCCCTCAACAGCTCACCAAATGTCCTTAAGTGGCCCTCCAGCCCAAATAAGTGCCCATCCCTGCCTTAAGATGTGAGGGATGAAAATCCAGATTGGAATTCTTATGCTTGAGATCATTTAGAGTGACAATTCAAATTTTCAGTCTATTTTTCCTCTGCGAAAATGTAAGACTTCTTTTAAAGAAATGCGTCTAGGAATCAGCAGTTGATTTGATTCAGAATGTTCAAATAAAAAAGCAACCCAAATTCATTATTTTTAAAACTTTCTTGATTTTTTCAAAAAAGGGAATCTCTCAGGTTTTCTTGGCTTTTTACTTAGGATTTTTGAATGCTTAGCATTGGCGATAAATAATAAGTAACAAAGCTATCAGGTATCCTAACAAGGAAACCTTTGTTCCCACTTCATTTTGGTTTTCTGTGTGCCTTTTGAATTACTTGTCCATGCAACACATTTTTTTGCTCCATGTGCAGTTCTAAGTGAGCAACAACCTAGACCAGCAGTTCCCAACCCCAAGTCGTGACCCAAATGAGGGTCACGGGGGCAATGCCGGTGGTGCTGCATGGAAAAGATGAGCTGTGTGCTGGGAGCTCCCCTGTTCCATCCCCAGGCTGCCATTGCATACTGCTCCCAACAGTGGGGCACGGGAAAAAAAAGTTTGGGAACCACTGACCTAGACCCATTTGCCCTCAAAGCAAATACATGTCTGAGGTATCTTGCCTTTGAATAGGGTCTTCTATTTTTTATTATAAAAGAAACAGAAAAACTTACATTCACTGCAAAAAGTTCCAAAGGGTGTTTTTTAAATTATTGAGATGATTTTGCATGGAGTGCTTTGGAATATGTATTGCTCACTTCATACATATTCATCACTTTATGACAAAAATTTGTACAGGTAGGTATTAGACTTCAGGGTCTTTTATACTGGAAAAATGTTCTTAAAATGGGAAGTATCCCCCCTCCCTACATGAGTGTATTTAAAACTATAGAATATAAATATATGGCTTTAGTGAACAGAAAGGAAGCATTTGGTATAATTTCCTATTCAAAGCTTGAATGTAAAGTCATTATCATGTATTCTGAACTGAACATTATAGATCACCTAGGATACAGAAGTGGTTTATATGGGATCTGTAGTATAACAAAGTCATATTTGTTAAGATTGCTTAAGAAAGCAAAGGAGTAGCATGCTAGTGCAATTGCAGAACTGACCTCGTTGGCCTGAGAACATGTGTTTTTTACTTGCTTGCATTTCATAAACAGAATTGTTGACAGTACAAGTTATTTTCTCATATGAACATCAAAGTATAGGATGGCAGATTACAGATCACATGTATTTTATATCCATTCTGGACCAATGAAACCATCACTAGATCTACTTTTTCCAAAATTACTTGGCACCCAGTCTAGTAATAAAGATTTTTGAAATTAATTTACTGTATAACATCTCTGTAGAGAAATAGCAATTGCCTTATAAAGTTTTGCAGCTTGCCCGCCTTCCCAGAAAATTATAACACTAGAATATTTTACTCTGTGTGAGAAGCTGTTCAGGAAGCTAAAGAATTTGCATGTTAATAAGAGTGTTAATAAGTGTGTTTATAAAACACTGTGTGAGTACATCAGGGTGCTGCATAGTCTTCATAAAGAAAAAGCCGTCACAATGAGCATTTTGAAGATGAAATCAAATGATTTTTGAAATTAGTCTTAAATAAAAGAGTCTGGTCATTTGGGTGCCTTTACACTTGCTTGACGGAGGGGGGGGAGGGGGGGAAAGGGGTGTGTGTGCTTTAATTAGAGTGGCTCTGTGAGCCACTCCATGAGCCACTCTAATTAAAGTGCCTGCAACATCTCATGTTGCAGTATCCTGTGCTTTAAAATGGTGGCAGGGGTGCTATAACTAAAACATGTTTGCTGAGCTTTAGTTAAAGTATCCCAACCATCATTTTGAAGCACGGGGACGCTGAATACATGAGACATGGAGGCTGCTGGAATGTGCTATGTCACGGCGGGGTCCTACCGGAGGGCCATGATCTCCTTAAGGCCCCCTTCCTCCATGCCAAGTCGGCTCAAGGGCACCCTCTAATTCTCGCCCGCCACGTCTTTTATGTTCCAATGTATTAGGGAGGCTGCCTCACATCTCCTTGGACACGGTTACTTCTGGCCCCATGAACTCCCGGACTGTTTGTGGGTCTCACTCTACGATGGGCGCTTCCCAGGCACCCTAGCCTTATGGGCTATGCGTGGCTCCTACCACCCCTTATACCACGCCACAAGCCTCACAGTTGGGATAGACGTTGTTCGGTCTCTCTGGGCCTCCTCGGTACCGCCGCCCTCTCTCTGGGCCTCTTCAGTACCCACTCTGGGCTTTCTCAAGAATGCCGCCCCCTTCTCTAGGGCCTTCCGCAGTGCTGCCCCCTTCTCTGGGGCCTTCCGCACCCACACTAGGGCTTCTCCATAGTGCCCCCTCTCCAGGGCTCACCACGCTTGCACTAGGGCTTCCCAACCGCCCCTCTCTGGGACTGGGGTCTATGCACCCCGTACGCAGTGCCCTTACTGGCGCTGGAGCCCCCACGCTGCTGTGGGTCCCCTATGAGGCCTCCTCCAACCCCTAACAGCCTCACCCAAACCACCGGTGTAACAAACAGCAACACAAACATAAGCCGCCTGGCTATAACAACATTGCTCAAGCATCTTAGAGCTGCCATAAGCTGCATCTGCGGTCAGGCTTCTTCCTGCATCCTGACTTAGGGAGCTGCTGGCAGGAAACTACCTCTGGCCTCCTGTCTATGCTTTATATAGGAGCCAGGCCCTGCCCCTTTCAGTCAGCTGACCTCCTGGTTGCTCTGGCAACCCACAGCTGGGCTCCTTATTCCCTGCTAGGTCTTTCCCTGGCAGTTTCCCCTCTCTAGGAGCAGGGCACCGACCTCCATGCTCTGACACATGCTAATTAGCATTAATTAGATTAATTGAGTCTGTTCCAATGTGCTGTAATTACAATGCATTGGAGCAGCATCCTCGCACGTCTACAGGCACCTGTGGCCAGAACTCAATTTTTTTGTAACTGGTTGGTCACCTGGAAAGATTGTTCAAATTAATGCCCACTGTAAGATTACAGCTGCACCTCCAGAAATGTAATATATCTCTTCCAATGGACCAAATGCCCTGATGCAAAATATGTATAAGAGATCAAACAACAACTGTGCACCAGAATGAACGCACACTAGAAATCTTTTAAGGACAAGACTACCCAATTACCTATGGGACCACATTTCTCACAAGAAAACCACTCTGTCTTCCATCTCTCAGTTCTAATCCTCAAAGGAAACTTACAAAACCCTTCTCAGAGATGAGCCTATGAACTCCACTTCATCAACCTCCTGGATACTAAAAATCATGGATTAAATATAGACATTGGATTTATGACACATTATAACCTGCCTGACATCTGACTCCCCAGGTACCTCTCCACTATTCACCCCCTCCTCAACCCGGCCCAGCCTGTCTCTCACCCACAGACTCCTCAATTTACATCTTCACTGAATGCCTGTCTTGTATGCATACCAGGCCAGCCTCCGGCTTCTTTACTATTCATTCCATCCAGGAAGAGCACACACCAACTGCAGAAACTTCCTTAGCCTGTCAAAGGGTTTTTAAACCCAAAAGCTTGCTTAAATTTTTTTTTCCAACTATTTAAGTGGGTCTAATAAAAGATATCAGATTCACCCAAAGAACCTTGTCTGCCTATGTTCTTAGACCAACACGGCTACAACCTACACCCTGTCTCATGTTATAGTTCACCGTAAAAGTGGAAGTTCCTTACAAAGACATTGGTGAAAAAACCTATCCTGGAGATCAGTGCTTCCTAAACTTTTCCTCAGCATGACCCCATTTATGGCCCTTGCCTCCTCATTCCCAGCCCACAGCCCTCCACTCCTGTGACACCATCCACTGATGTTGCCACCCAATTCGGGGTTGCGACCCACAGTTTGGGAACTGCTGCCATAGATGAAAGTGAGAAACAGGGTTGCCAACCCTCCAGGATTGCCCTGGAGTGTCCAGGAATTAGATATAAGTCTCCAGGAGACTGCTGAGAGTCACCTTGGAGATAAATGATAGGGCATTCATTAAAATAAATAAAATGTTGAATCCAATTTATACAGTAGTCCAGTGGGTTTTTAAAATGTAATAGTGATGTTCATTTGTCTCTCTGAGTACAGTACAGTAGATCAGTCATTAATGTCCTCATTAAGTGATAAAACCTCCTGGAACAGATTCAAATAGAGTTGGCAACCCCAGTGAGAGAGCTTTTTCAAGGGCTCAGACAAATTTAAACTTATTTTATAGGTGCCTGGAATCTTGCTTTCTTTTGGATATTTTGGCATTGCCACTGGAACATTATGTATTATACATGGCTGTACTTTAGGTGCATAAGTTTCATCATCCATTTTAAACCATTAACACTGGGAATTATCTTTAAAAAAACCCCTCTTTCTTAACCTTTTTCTCCTCTTGGTGCCTACGTATGTGGGTGTGTCTGTGTCACTTTCAAAAAAATATTGAGCACTTTATGCTGTTCTCCTTCATTTGTTTCTCCTGACAAAGAAAACTTCTAAAATAGAACTGAAAAATAGCTTTCTGTTTACAATTTGAGCTGGATCTCAGAAGAGACTGCCAACTTGTTATTTTTAAGGATCGTCCCCAGTTATGACAAATCTTGGTTTTGGTTCATAGATTCATAGATGTTAGGGTCGGAAGGGACCTCAATAGATCATCGAGTCCGACCCCCTGCATAGACAGGAAAGAGT